ACATTTGGGTAGAAAGGTAACACGAGGGGAGCACACCTGATATTGCCCATCAATTTCACATGCTCTCAAATGACTCCAAATGACTTTGGCAATGAATGACTCAAAAACCAAATTTTCTCCGCCTAAACCCACGCAATAATGTAAATGTTCATATGTGATACTCTTCTTATGACATTCCAACCTATTTAATGTGCGAAGACAGGTGCTCGAGAGCACGCGGAACTGATGCTCAATATCAAATCAATATCAATCCTGCTCGTTTTATTTGTTTATGAAAATAACCAGAGATTGATGTGTTGGGGTCAAATAATCGAGGTCAACTGGTGGTAGCAAACGGGTGAGGGAGAAACAAATTCGTCTCCAGTTTCCTTGTTCAGATATGAACTGGCGACGTAAGCGCCCGTAGTTACTTCGGGTCGTCACTCCGCTCTTGAGCAATGTAGTCCACTTTGGGTCTGGGAATTCTGATCGCCTAAACAAATGTTTTGTGCAAACAATACTGGCTTCATCAAGCGGAAGATATTTGCCTCTGCTGTTGCGAGTGTTTTAATTTGAACTGTCTTGTGGCACATGGTAAATGTTAGTGAAAGCCGAAATAGTGGTCACCTTGACTGTTTGACTCCTAACCATTACCCTACAGTTAGTGTCTTACATAAACTTGTTTGTATGGCTTAAGAATGAACTCAGCGAAAACCTATGTTTGCCAATGAGCTATGCTTTAACCATTCAATCGATCTGCTGATCAAAAACGCCCTGCATAGCGGACGGACAGAGACCATTAGAGCAAATCGTGGTGCCAATAACAGTGCATTCACGTCGGATCTAACTCATTCCCGTGTTATCTGTCGCTGTCACTGCGGCAACCAAATCATTCTACGATGTTTTTTCTCCGAATACTGCCAGATTATTCAGATCAAAGCAGGTGTTTGTCTTAGGGATTCAGTACCACAGTCAAAACCGTAAATCACGGATCAAGGAAGGGATATCATGATGAGTAAGTAACATTATTCTTTCTGATCTACTTTTTGGCGTTTATGGTTTATTTTTTTCATTCATATACATACTATGTAATAAAATTCGGCCTTTTCTCTCTCTCCAGCCCGTTCCTGTGTTTGGCAAAGTGGAGGAATGGCTGACAGCGATGGAGGCCGAGATGCGGCGAACCAATCATTGGATCACAAAACAAGCTGTTTTCTATTATTGCCATCAGAAGTCACGTGTTGACTGGATGTTTGATTTCCAAGTAAGTGAGAAAAATCCCAGGCAAAATGAACACTCCTTTTCTAATGCATGTAAATGAAACTGAATTTCATTCTTGTTTTCGGAATACATATTTATCACCTTCTTGCGAGCAAAAACGAATAACAGATAACAGGAATAACCATATTTTTTCGTGTTTCATTGTACACTTTTTGGTATTTGTGTGTGTGCTAGTTTATCTTTTCGTTTCTCTGTGGGATTCAGATAATTTCTAACATATGAATAACTTTTTATATGTAATTGAATAGTGTGATGACCGAAACAGCGCTGGGCAGTTGTTTCGTTCTTGTTGAGATGCTTCAGCAATGCAGACTATTTTTGTTTAACAATCCCGGATTAAAATCACAAACCTATAAACTGGGAGCCGTATACCTTACCTTTGCATTACACAGACAACGTATATGAATCATCTTGAGCAGATATCAAATTAAATTGAAATTATCCTACGTCATTCCTGCGAATTCACGAACTCGCAAAGAGTGAAACCCACTCCCATACACAAATCCTCGTATCTGTGCCTTCACATGCACAATGTAAGATGAATTAAAATTTTCTTCGATCACTTATCAAGTTCCACCGAAATTTGCAGTTTGTGCATGCTCCTCGATCAGTTTGTTATCAATGAGATACCGGTTTAACCCCAATACTGGTCGACTCACTCCTCCGTTCGCATTCCTAATCGAATTCGCGCACAGGGTATGGTCATTCTGGCCGCCTCACAGATCTGGTTTACCTGGGAAGTTGAAGACGTGTTTCGAAGCTTCAAAACTGGCAATCGTAGTGCGATGAAAGAGTTTGACAAAAAATTGGAAGAACAACTGAACGAAATGGTTTACCGGATTCGAACCAATCTGACTCCAAACGATATGAAAAAGCTTGAAACTGTTCTCATTTTAGATGTGCATTCAAAGGACATGGTGGAGAAATTCATTCGTGACAGGTAAGTTAACCAGAATGGCGTACGTAGCATACAAAACAATGCCGGTCTAAATTACTGGGGTATGCGCATACAGCGTTGCAAATTTGGAAACGGTATTCTATACGGGGGTTTTGACGTCTTTTATAAATAATCATTTTTGAATCAGCGTCTTTCGGAACGCTGTAACTCACATAGTTGCTAGAACACTGGATCCGAAAAATGAACCGGTAAAGATGGTTTGAACTTGAGCTAGTTCGTCATGGAGAAAAATACGAAACCGAGCGGGGTAAAACAATGAATTAAACACAAGTAATCCGCAAATTAGCAAACTGACACGCACGGTGCAACTGTAGACGAGTGATCGATCGGTTATCATCAAGAATTTGGGGGAGATTCACTCACTTAGCGGTTATCCTTAACCTCACCGCTTCAACTTCAGGTGGATCCAAAAATCGCGTAGATATGAGTGAAGTAGCTTAAAAGACTGGGCCTATCACTACACCCTTCCGGTTAGAACTAACTAATTAAACTGTTGTGCCCTTGGCCATTGATCTAGTGAGCCTCAGATGAGAAAGAACAACTCTGGTGATGACTGATCTTTCGGTCTAGCGTGAATGTTGATGTGAACCGTTGCATCGGCCAGTTCAGTATAAGCCTACAATGACCTAGTGAAAGAATTCTCCTGAGGCTGAGGTTACCTCGAATTTCACCGCTTGTTGTGAACGCGATATGATTGCCAGTGTTCGTATAACTTACACGAATAACCTATACATGGGATATTGGATGAGGTCTGAGAAGATTTTGACCATCTATTCAGGTACTACTTACTACAAAATCTGAGTTATTTTAATAAACAGCTTCCGTTCCCAAAGTCCCATGGTTCCTGGGTTGTATAGTGCCGGTATTGAGAAAAGAGCTTTCCTTAAATATTCATTAGATCAATATAATTATCATTACTGGTGCTACTCTACCCATTTCTTCGCCTATCCCCTACTGCGGGCACTGAAGCATCATGGCCCCGGATGAATTCGGATGGGAATCACAGCTTCGTTTCTATTGGGTCCGTAAACTGGACAGTTTGGTCATTCGTCAGTGCTCCGCGGAATTCAACTATGGCAACGAATATTTCGGACTGAACGGACGTCTGGTCATCACTCCACTAACTGATAGAATCTATTTAACTATTACACAAGCAAGTGATTGTTCTTTGTCGAGTATTATTCAGTGCTTACTTATATCTGTGCGAGTATGTTGGGTTAGGCTTTGGTTAGCCAAAGGCTCTGGTTGTGGATTCCTCAATTAAATTCATTTGCCTTTGCCTGGGCAACCTAGCAGTATTTCGCCCACAAGCCAATCATGGAACATTTTTCTTTTTCATAAGGGTTATTGTACCGTGATTTGCTTGGCACTCAGTCTGAATTCAGACGTGTGTGAAATATACATATACATATGTTGTGACTGTATAGGAGTAATCTGATCAATGTAACAGACGGATTGTCACGGTTTACGTTCGTACGGTTTCGGGTAGAATGCATGCTATTCAAACTGCCCTGTCAGTTAGACCACACGAATGTGGTTCGATTTTCCCATGATTATAGAAAAAGTCGGCCGAGAAACGCATCTGCCGAGACGTTGTCATGCAACGTTCTAAAGTGCTAGCTCATTGCTTTTTATTTGGAATGCTTTCATTGATGCGAAAGAACCGAGAACCAGTACCTGGTGCTTGAACTGATTTAACTGATAATCAGTAACCAGCTCATCTCCGAAGTGAGAGATTCTGATTGCTAAATGTTTAAGTTGGAATGACTTTCTGTCCTCAATTTCTAGAATACTTCCTTCAGTGAAGCATGATAATCTTGTTTTTTAGACCATAGCAAATAAAGAAATTAAAAAAACAGTAGTTGAGATAGGTGCTACTAAAGGGGTTGACTCAGTGCTTTGTACACGTGGAACCAAGGTACTTCCCATCGGTTCTCGCAACTGTACATTTATGTTCTATCGGTCGTTTTATTTTATGCCCGTCTCAGTTGTTTCAGTTCTAGCGCAGATTAAACGCTCACCACATAGTTCCTCTGATCATATCATACTCAGACTACAACGAATTAACTAAATCTTCGTTAAAGCCTCGTGTCCCTGTTCTTTTATTCACCTCTGGTTCACAGGCACTGTCTCTGTATCTCGGAGGTGCACCGGCTGGACCGGCCGGGACCGGTAAAACAGAGACCATAAAAGATTTAGCCAAAGCACTGGGACTACTATGCGTGGTGACGAATTGCGGAGAAAACATGGATTATAAAGTAAGTGAAACAAGCAATTACCCCGATCCATATGTAAATGTTTGTTCTGGAACTTTAGAAACAGTTTATGACAGTATATTACGGGCCTATTGTGCTATTGTTTTAATTGATTTAAATGATAATATTGAATGTACATGTATTACGTATTACGCGAAGCACGACAATTGGGATTTTGATGCACTAATCGGGGAGGGGGGGGTGATCCACTGACATGAAAGTAATGATGAGAATGAGAATGAGAATGGTGTCTTCCTGAGCGGTTCACAGCGTCTTCTTTCATTGCATTGCACAGTCAGGCGATGTCGATCAAACACAGAATTTACTTTCTGCTCACGATTAATTACCGGTAGTGGACTAAGATAAGTATTTTTGATTTTGACTAGCCATCCTTTGGAATTCCACTTAACACAAAAGTCTCAGATCATTCCGCAGTTGCCACGATGGTATTACACCGGTTAACCATCCAACGGTTCGGGAGTTCAATTACCCGATGAGTCGGTGGATGTATACTACTAACGAGCTCAAAAAAGCTAAGTTAAAGCTCCCAGTCTTTCAATCCACACAGTACTAAAATAAAGCTGGACATTATCAAACCCAAAGTACGCATTTCTGAAACCAAAGTAACTTGGCTTTGAGTGAATGGCGGTCGAGTAAGCCTCCCGAGACATTAGGCTGCTTAAGTGCGTTGTAATGCGATTCTCTTAACCTAAGCGATGTTTCTAAAAGGCTTATCCGACCAACTCATATCACCAATCCCACATCACTACTCGTAAGTAACTGTGAATTGAATATGGATACGTACTTTCCTATTGGTAATGGGTTGTTTTGTTTTGGTCATCCATAGATTTGACCGGTATGTTATTTTCCAAATATCATTCAGCGCAGTTATACAATCATTAGGGGAGTTAAATCGTGTTGACACATCTTCCGGTTGGGTCTCTACGACAATTTTTCAATTTCGTTCACTGATATAGCATGGCCGATTCTCAGGTTTGATGTATTACATGTTGATCTCAAAATTTTGTTTTCGATGCTTTCATCCGGAAAGGTGAACTGATCAGATTCACTATCGATCCGTGCAGTGGAGAGGAGATCTACAGTAGCACTCCACCTAAACACAATCAAAATACCATATCCAAAGCCCCATGGGTTGGTTATCCCTGGTCGGGAAGAACACAAGTTACTGAACTAAAACCCTTTGCACACCAAGCTGTCTCACTCTCAGATCCAGATGTCCATATAAGGTGTCTACCTTATCAGAGGTACCAGGTCCAGTTATTATCTAAACTGACTTGTAACGTCTGGATGATCACCAGACAGCATACAGATTTCTAAGTCCCGCTTGAAAGTGTCGGCGGGAGAGGAAAATGAAGTGATCTTCCCCAGCCTCACAAATTCAAAATTCCCTGACATATCTCATTCATTTATCTTGAGCCTATGTTTAAGCGTCTGTATGTATTGTCTTTCTCCACCTCCCTCTAAAGAACTACAGCGTGCCATGTTCCCTTGACACTAAGGATTCATGATTGATAGACTCATGCGTCATTGTAATCGAGAATCACATTTATTTGCCAACTATACTCCATTTGCCCCTTTACGATCATTGAAGCACTAATGCACTTTATAATCTTCAAGCGTCATATAATCAAAAATTATCATTTTTACAATAAATCCGGGATGGAATATGATAAATCTATCAAGGTAACTGCGTTGGAAATAAGGTTTCGAGAGCTAAAGAATATCCCACATACACGACTCTTTACGCACAACGACTGTCGATTCTCGTCAAGGCGCAAATTCAGCGCTTGATTTGGGTGCATGTCAGAACCATTCTATTGAACAAGAATTGTCACGAGATGTGGTCGGCTTTAAGCCAACTCTGTGGCACAGTGGGAGCTCCTGTTGTGACAATAAGCTGCCCCGTCAGGTTCGAATTGCCTACTGTCCTCTATCAATTTCTCTGAAAACAACAATCCTGGTTCTCCAACCGAGGTTCTCAAAGTTTGAAAGCAACTTAAATTGCACCAAGTCCATGAACCTAACTAAATAACCCCTGGTTTATTGAAAACCAGGGGTTATTTGTGTATGTATTTCGGAACGATCCCGGATTTCTGGAGGGCTACCTGGATAAAACCTATCCCCAAGAACAGCCTTTCAAAGTACCGACCGATTGCGCGTACCTGAGTCCTGTTGAAAGTCTTTGAAGAGTGCTGTTAAACCGGATGACCATCCTCTCTGATTTTCTCGATCCTCTTCAGTTTGCTTACAAACCTTCACCTTCTACTCTTGACGTTGTCGATTATGGTACTTATTCTGGAGCTTTAATGTCAGATAGGAGTGCTGGAACAGTTAGCCTTATTTTCCTTGATTATTCCAATGCTATTGGTTCGCGTGATTATCACATTATCATTCAATGTCTTACTGACTGCGGCTTAGGATCTGACATTAATCGTTCTTCTGAACCATTTCTCTTTTAGAACGCAATTTACCCCATGCAATGGTAAAACTTGTTACTCTTCTAACGTTAACTCTGGTGTTTTTTCAAGTGCAATTTCGTCCCCATTCCTATTTTCCTTGTATATAAACAAACTGCCTGCTCCTACCATCTTTATTTTCTGCAGGCATGCAGACGATGTGGTGACTGGGTGTTCCTGCAGTAAAAATGTATCTTTCCACCAGATTCAATACAGTTCAAACGAGTCGTTACTTTGTCTCTTCCCCCATCCCTTATGCTTAATGTTTCAAAATGTGTTGATGTTCCCTTCAACCTTAAATTTGCCTTCCGTTATCACATTGTTTTTAATGATCTGCCTGAACTCGTCGTTAAGGGTCAGCAAATTCCCAAAGCTGGCTCTACTAAATATCCGTTCACATTATAAGCTTTTCCTGCACGCAACACCACATAGAAACAGCATCCTCCCTAATCTTACCCGTGTTGTAGTGAACCGGGCACCAATGATGGTGGGTCTGGTAGAACATCTTTTTAGCTAGTGTTTCATAACTGTTATCATCTTATTGCTCCTAGTGTGTTATCATTTTGTTTTCTCCTTCCATACTCCGTTGCGTTTTTTTCGTCCTGCTTCCACACTGCCCTCTCGAAAATAGCTGAAAAATCACTCTTCGGGTGCGTCAAGCCTACTTTGAGTTGACGTGAGTGGTGAAAAGACAGTTTGTGACCGGTTCCAAGGCGTTCACACCACTGTGGTGACCCTAATGCTTTATTTACTATCAGTAATATAAAGAAATCACCATCTCGACGAAAACGGGTTCTCAATAATAGTTCAAAAATACACCGTTGGTGGTGACCAACCGTGTTGTTGCTCGCCATTGGCGGAGGCGTTGACCACAAATGTCCGTAGCGGTATTGATCAATTAACTGATGCTGGCTACTACGACATACGTAATAGTGCACGTTACACATACTTATCCTATCACATGATTGATTCACCTCAGCTAATCAGATGTCAGTATTGAACTGCCCGCGTTCATCGATACATTGACACCCTGGTTTTATGTAGCCACAAAGCGTACTCATGATTTTGCTTTACGAATTGCCTGCATGCTGATGCCCTTGCTTGCTCACTAACCTACAGATCGGCTGCATGTAAGCACGCTACCAATAAACGAATTGCCTAAACCACTGTCGTTATTTTCGCGCTTTACTTGAACGAATTAAACGGCTTCAACACTGTACTGAATGTAGATCTTGTGGTGAAAGGAACTCTCTGTCGACCTATATACTTCGTAGCTTTCCGTTACACGACCTACTGTGGCCTGATCTAAAATCTCATTATTATTATTATTATTATTGAATCTGTTTTTGATTTGCTGAATCGAGCTAAATTTCACCCCTAAAATATAAGAATCGAACATTCATGTAAGAAGTTCCGGTATTTTCTTGGGGTTTAGAGAAGATGATAGTTATTACAGTTGACAGTGATTTTTATTTCCTAACCTTAAGATACCATCATTCGAAGCAAACCTACGATGCGTTTCATCGGATACATTTGTATAATCATTGTACGGAAGATTTTACTTAGAAACGCTAACCCCTCTATGTTGTTATGGTCGTGTGTATTGTCAATTTGCACTCTCATCTGGATCTCCCTTTCACGAAACTCTTTCCCAACTGGAAAAAGTCGTTTGCAAAGCTTCTGTCCGGTCTGTGTCGTTCCGGGGCTTGGGGCTGTTTTGATGAATTCAACCGCATTGAAGTTTCCGTGTTGTCTGTAGTCTCGTCTCAGATTAAATCCATTCAAAATGCTTTGCAATCCAAAGCAGTCACATTCCAGGTAAGTCCGATCTTATGCTGTGACTGGAGACGTGTTTGTCTTTCTTCTTCGGTGCGCATATCGTTGATGAAACAACTACTGTAAAGTAATCAATGCAACAGGATAAAGAATGATGAAAACACCGACTGCTTGTCACAAAATAGAGATTTACGTCATTCTGTTCAATTCTGTCCAAGTATCACCTAAAATCGAACGAGTGTTGCGAAATTTTCGAAGACGCTCAGCAATCACATCTCATTTGCAGAAAACAAATAAAACTTCGGCTAAACATGCCTGTGATTTTATGGCACGACGTAGGAGGTTTCATATTCTAGATATTTTATGTGATTTAATTTAGTATTATATACCTGTTAAACAACAATCTGAGTTTCGATTTAAAAAATATGTGGTCACGTGAAATTAGTGGAGTAGTAGATACTAATATAAGTTTACTTTCGTGTACACCTGTTTGGACCTAGTTGTGTATTATAGTCAATGAGAAACCATCGACCCAACTGAGGTTCGGACCCGAGACAACACAGTTCACGCAATCGACTACCGGGTAGCGGTAGTGAGAGCTGTAGTAGTACTAATATTAGTAGTCGCAGCAACTGGCCTATTTAAACCATTCATTCATAACTAAGGTTGAAATGTCACGGCAATAATGGAAATTTGAGGCATTGAACTAGTTGAAAGATTTTCACTTCACCCGAGTCAATCAATGTCGGTTACACAAATGAATGCTGCAGCCGTGTCCTCCTTGTCTAGAGTTGTTATTAAAACGTGAAATGTTTGTAATCGCACAGGATTTTCTCGATACTGGATGTTTATTGTTCACACAGGTAGGGAAGTGAAACACAGCTGGAAGCGTATGGGAATTCGCTTGTTACGCAAAAATCATGGTTATTTACAGGAAAGAAAGGGCACATGGTAATGCATCTTTTCAGCGATTGGTTGACTGGATTGGTGCCAATCGACTTGATTGGTTGGTGGTTCCGACCAACCATCTGAGTCCACCTATCTCTGTCTTGATTGGTTATCTCAGAACAAAGCAGTTTTCAGGGAGCATGTTATCTTCCCGACAGCCAGAAAACTGTATGAATAGTCTTTGGGTATAGATGTATTGTCTTCTATAGCTTTCTCTCAAAATCTACCGTGATCAAATCTGTTCGCACCTTAGACTATCATCAACAGGCGAAATAACTGTAGCATAGCGAATAGTGGTTCCGAATTAGGAACAAATATCAATCCGTATGATTAAGATACCAATGATCTATTAAAATTATCTAGACACGGAATTGAGTAAAAAACAAAATGAATTTCTCAGAGATCCCCCAAACACTGGAATAGAAATCACAACTTTTCGGCCACAAAATCAGTGTTTCTATGGCTTATAATGGCGGATTAGGAGACTTATTGGTTAGATTCAATATCTTAGACCTGCATGCAACTTTGTGCTTGTATTCCTAGATGAGAATCCCATCAGACTATAAAATCTTGCTTAAAAAAATACCACCAGCAGTGCAACTGAATTGAATACGCAGCACGATGAAAAAGAGATTGCATTCAGCGTCACCTTTACTGACCGGTGGTGATCAGCAACAACAGTGGGGCTGAGCTTTAATTGCTATTACGCTTGGGATCGGTGAATTTAAGATGGGGTTAAAGCAGTTCCAATATTTATTGGGCTGTTATAGAAATTCTACTCAAGGAAACTTCGCTTTGACCCATGTGCTGGTCGAAGACTGCTTCCAGAATGTTAAACTTTCAATTTTCAAGAAATGCAAAAATCCCCTGGTTATCAGTGATTTCTGTTTGACTGAAAAGCTGAAAAGTTTCATTTTAACGCCTTACTCAGCCATTCCCATTTTTTTAATCAATGCTTTTTTTCAATCCAGTTTGAAGGTACTGAAGTCCCGCTAGATCGACGCGTTGGAATTTTCATCACCATGAATCCAGGTTACGCTGGTCGAACCGAATTGCCAGAATCTTTGAAAGCTCTTTTCCGTCCTGTGGTTGTGATAGTGCCAGATTTGGAGTATATTTGCGAGATTATGCTGTTCTCCCAAGGTTTTCTTACAGCACGCGTAAGTGTTGAGATTTTTTCCCGTTCACTTTGTAAACGTCGGCCTTTCAAACGGATTGTTGTTGAGCTGTGTTGTCAACACTATAATAGTTTTCATAACATAAATAATCTTCGGGACGTTCGATGGGGGAACAGTGATTCTGTTATTAATCCAAAAGACGGTGCTGGTCAAGGTTATTCCTTCGTTAGAGATTATTGCTGGGAGGTCAGTAATTTTGCATGCATAACACAAAAACCTAATCAGAAAGATGCCATTGCAGTCCTTTGTGACACAGGGTATTGTATACAGCCGTCAGTAGTTATTCTTCCAAACACATCACTTGGCCCTTGATGATGTTGTTATATTTTTGATCATCGAAAGTTACCTTCTACTCACAATTGAGTAGTATCTCACGACAATTCCATTGAACACCTATGAATTAACCCCGTCACACATATTGCATATTGCGAACTCATTCATGTCAGATCACTGTTTTCTCAAATTTTTCAAAAGGATTTAGCAAAGAAGATGACCGCTCTGTACAGATTGGCCAAAGAACAACTATCCCAACAATATCATTACGATTTCGGATTGCGCGCTCTGCGTTCACTTCTTGTCATGGCCGGTCACATGCGTCGTACGAGTCCGCAATCACGTGAAGATATACTGCTCATGCGTGCATTGCGTGATTCAAATATGCCCAAACTGGTCCGTGAGGATGTTCCATTGTTCATGGGTCTGATACAAGACTTGTTCCCGGGCATTGAATTTGAACCTGCACCGATGATTGTTGAACTGGTTGAGGCGACCACAGATGTGTTACATCAATACCAGTACACCCTGGTTGATGAACAGGTGAATGCATTCAGACTGGATTTGTACTTTTGTTGTAGTTTTTCAATCATCAATAGATGTGCTTGTGTATTTTGGTGGATGTGCCGATGAGACAAAGCATTGAACAACTGATTTAACTCTAATCAAACGTGTTCACAGTGAGTATTCTGTGTCTGCTGTTCGAGGTGGACAAGTATAGCACGCATTACTGACAAGCTCAATGGAGCATGAAAGAGAACTGTTTGCGGTGCTCATTATAAACAAACTTTAAACCAAGGCACCAGATTATTGGAGACGAAGCCAACCCCTTAGTAGATAAAATCACAACTGAATAAAACACTATAGTCGATGCTTTTGAAATGGAAGAGGGGGGCGGGGCGGGGCGGGGGGTGGAGAGAATCCGACAGTGTCATGTGGGCTTTGTGTATGCACACTGTAAAATCTCTAAACTGGTTAAGCTCTTATTTTCGCCTGGGCCTTGTGCCTTGTGTCATCTGTGTTCCCATGTTTAGAGACATCGTTATTGTGCTCTAGATCCCATAGGAATAGGTTATCTGTAAACGGTATCCGTTCGATTGATCAAAGCCGATGAATTTAGCGTTGTTAACCAAACAATGAGGAAATACACAGCTCTCTTTTTCTAAATCTCAGATACACAAAATTATCCAACTGCATGAGACCCTGCAATTCCGACATTCGGTCATGGTAGTTGGACCGACTTGCGGTGGGAAGACAGTGGTATTGGACGTGTACTGTCGAGCCTTGAAAGCGTAAGTTCACTAATGCCTTCAGTTTTGGACCGTTGTTAATCAGTTCTCTTTTACTAGAGATATAATAATAGACATACAGTGGGTTTTACTTTAGCATGAATCATACAATCCTGTGTTTTCTGTCCTCTTTCACTGTTCTGTATACGATAATAAAAGAAATAACAACAGAATGCGTACATTGTGTTGTGTATTCAGTTAGCACCACTTTCTGAGCGATTTGGAAGTATTCCTCTCATCCCAGAGATATCAATATAAAAATTAACGCAATAGCTGAACCGCGAAGAATTTTCAGAAGAGAGAAAGAACTGCACAGAATTGGGTTTCTGCGATAGAATCGTCCCAATTTTCACATTCCTAAAACGTACGTGCATTTTGATTCCCAGACACTACTCACTGTTTAAAACAATCAACTTCATGGTATTTCTTTATGTGCAAATCATCTGTCTATTCGTATTGCGTTCCGACAGGACGGGGATCAACACGAAGATGTACACAATCAATCCCAAAGATCGTAGCGTGAATGATCTGTACGGCTTTTTGGACCCGGCCAGTCGCGAGTGGTTAGATGGATTGCTCTCGTTTCTGTTCCGTTCGATCAATCAGGTAACCGAGGCCGCGGAACGACGTTTTCTCACTTTTGACGGGGATGTGGACGCGTTGTGGATTGAGAATATGAACTCGGTGATGGATGACAACAAACTGCTCACATTGGTCAATGGTGAACGAATTCGATTGCAACCGTATTGCTCGCTCCTGTTCGAAGTGAGCGACTTACAATATGCCAGTCCAGCTACCGTGTCTCGTTGCGGCATGGTGTATATGGATCCAAGCAATTTGGGCTATCTACCCTATTGGACCAGTTGGGTAGGTCGGAAACACATTGTCCCTTGTTTGTCTGAATGTTTCCTTTTTTGACGGGGGTGGGGTGGGAGAGGGAGAGGCGAAGGAGGGATGAAAGTGAGCTTAGTGAATACCTTTCAAATCACGTGCTCGTTTTTAGACAGACTACTATCCGTCTGCTGCCCTTTTTTCGTGTGTCCGTCCATTGATGTTTCGAAACGATCGCTGCAACAGCAAAAAATAATGTTACAATACATCGTCCTTATCACCGTGTCAAATATAATACCGCCATTCAGGAAGACTGGTCGTTTGAATGTTGTTAAAGGGAAATTTAGATGAAGGGAAAGTTGAACATTGGGGGGGGATAAATATCTGATGAATACATTTGAACCTAGTTTAGACATATATCTGCTTTCGGATGAACCAAACACGATAACAAAAGATATTTAGAAACGACAATTCTATGCTCGAATAGGAAATATATATATATACCAATCTTTACAGTTACGGCACCAAAGTAACCATTGATTGTAACTAACACTACAGAAACACATCAAAACAATCGATTGCGGATAGGGTATAAAAAACAGATTGTATCTTTTCAGAGGGACTATCGATAGCGGAGAATGGACAGATATCATGCTCTACATATCAGAGTTTCCTGAGAGTTCATTCCATTCTGTCCGAGATCATTGGCAATACTTATGAGCATCCGTAACTAAACTGTAATCAGAATTTAACTGGGATCTTTGAATGAGACATTACTGCAGATTATTATGAACCTACAGCTATGGTATCAAGCAACTCGGGACAAAGTACACAGAACCAGTGCGAGCAGATCGATAATGTGGTTATCAGAAACTCCGCCGAAATCAGCAGAAGTTTCGGAGTAAATAAATATGACATCTTGTTTGCTAACTTAGGAACAAATACCAAGCGAGATATTGTGAATCACTGATAGTCGATATTGAACTGCCCACACTTTATTTTATCACAGGTCAGCGGGGTTTATGCGGGTGTGAAACAAACGCTGGATTGTCTTTTCAACAAATACGTTCCGGTGCTCATGGACTACATTTTCGACGGTGTTTTACCCACAAGTGTGAGTCGTCTGATGAATGCGAACACCGGTCCGTCAGACGAAACGAACAAAGAGGAAGGTGCACGCGTGAACGCTGGAGGTAGTGGTGGTGGTGGCGGGGGTGCGGGTGGGAGCGGAAAAGACCAGGGCAATGCTCCCGGTTCAAACAAAGTAAGGATGGTCATGCCTCTGGTCCGAATGAACATAATCATTCAATTTTGTACTCTGCTTCGTAGTCAGCTGGATCTTGGAGCAATCCCCGGGACAGAGAACACTGCGTTTGATAAGACTCGCGACGTCGAAGTCGAGTAGGTATTCGATTGCTTTTTTTCCTAATTATTTTGATCCCGTTTCCTTGAACACAATAAAAGCGAATTCAGTTTGGTTGTTGTCTCAACAAGACAGTGTTGTTGTGGTCAGTTTTAAGCATGCTTTTGTTTTGTTTTCTTCTTTTCATTTCACTTCCTTTTATTGCATATACCAAGGTACAATTTTCAGGAAGGGGGAAGCGGCCAATCAAAGGGCTGCCATACAATACACAGATGGGGAAAGTCAGGCGATGGTGGTGGTGGGATTCGAACACTCGTCCCCCGGGGTGATAATTGGTGACGTTACCACCGGGCCATCACGGCTATCAACCTCGAAAGCCTCAATTTCACCGATAGTGGACTATTTATCCTTTTGCACGTCGAGAAATTCCCACGCACAGCATTTCTGAAAGCATATATTTTCTCAAGTAAAGGGGGTTATATTAAAATAAGAAGGCGTAACGCCATCGTTCATCGTTAATAAAGACTTGGTGTCTAGTTATTCTAGAAGAGCTAGAAAACCCTGGTCCTCAACCCTCATATATACTAACTGGCTACAGGACATCTTGGTTATACTGATCAGCGACTCTATTGAGCGATCGGGTGCACCAGGCATTCAGAATGTGATTGGCGCAAGTGTTTTCATAAAAGCCCGTGAAATACTTTTTAGGGTCTGAAGTTTTCCGTTGGACATAAAGGAGGATACTTCTCCAGCTCATGAGGAGCAGCTATTTGACATAATGGCAGCAGAAATGGAAGCAAGTTTCACTGCACGTGATGTGACTAAATAGTCTTCTGCAATCTTCTTCTGTGTAAGTAGATGTAGAGGATACGGGCGATTGACTAATAACCGGAGGCTGTGACAAACGCAGTATGAAGATTTTTATATGTTGATATTAATGGTCAGCAAAACATGCTGCATCAAATTGGCTTGGTTCATTTATACTGTTAGCCAAGACGCCTTGTGCGTTTTTAACAGATTTACATACATAGACAATGGTGACAGTAGGGACTGGCAGGTATCGATGACTAAGATGGAGAAATATTATCTCGGTGAATAGTTAGTTCACTTTACTCAGAGTCAGTAGCAACCTGGTGAATCCCGCAATGCTTTCGTCCTATCCCTGAAATTCTTCCAGCGATTTATGTGCTTCCCTGGCTGAGGGCCTGATAATGGACCGAATTGTCTTTAAGTCATGGATCCTGCCCTGGTAAAACCCGTTTTCAATCTCTCAAGACTGACATTGGAATACTGCATTACTATATGCCGAAATGAGAAAGCAGTAGAGACACATATAGAAACTTACATAAACAGAGGATCGCGTTTTGTGAAAAATTGCCACTGGAAAGCAAAAGCCACTAAAAGTTACCAGTCGCCTTTTGGAACGGATGCGTGCGATAGGGCGAAACCACTGATATGCATGATGAAAGATTTGCAATAACTACAGGAAGTGCAATCGTTGTTCTATGGTGTGTTTCATGAAGAACAAATTGAATTAGAAAATTAACGGCTCACATTCAGGAAGAAACGCCAGCGATCGTATGCGCATTGCGGAAGTTCAGTGATAAGACATTTAGCAGACAGGCATGCTTACTCGAATCACAAACTGTTGAACGTGATTCTGAATAATGCCTCCGAAAGCCCCAGTGTCTTGGATTGTGACCGGTCACTCTCCTTCCCACCTCGCGAAATGCTACAAAGTGTTCAGGATAGCCTCGGTTGAGGAAACCCGACTCATCACAACATACTCTCCATTCTTTACGGACAGTCAGATGTCGCGACGGTGCCGTGTTACCGTTCTTTATCACAGTCAGCCGAATAGCAAAGAAGAAGGCGTGATCACACCGGCAAAGAATGATATACAACCAATCGCTTCTTGCTCTTCTCGAATTAGGGAACATAACGTCGATCACCATGGGTGCCATCCCGAGCCAAAGTCCGTTTTACAGACTCATATACACTGCTTTTTGCAAATGCGGTGCAGTGCAGAAGAGTTATTACGTCAGTAAACTGAAAAAACGGGCCCAAACCAGGTGACACAGTATGGGTGTCATCCCTGAAACCAATAGGTAAAAGAAGTGGTGTTGTACCCAGCCAAACAACCCTACATAATGAATTATGGGTAAAGCCTTATGCGGAGATACAGAGTCCACTTAATGTAAATGGGACAGGATGATAATGAAGAGAATGAAGCGGAAGAGTCAAACATTGTTCAGGAGGAAGTCGCTTTAGACAAGTCAACCCAAGTCAGTAGACGTACATGTCAACTACTGTCAAGAATAAGGAAGGCGTGTTTGGCATAGCAATTAGCATCATGAAGACTAAATGACTGAATACACCATCGAGGATCGAGAAGAAGAACGATCAAGTGAAGAGAATGTGTTGGCTAGTTTCTCGGGAAGCAGATTTTACATCACATTTGGGATGCGTGAAACTCAACTTTATGCACTTTCGTCAGTCGTAAGTACTGCGTCCACTTGCGACCTCAACTCTTTCAAAAATATATTCGCAATATTGCAGCCATCCCTGGGTATTAGAAAGTGCTAAAGTTAAGATGCCTAGTGCATTACAGTTTCTTGGTGGATTAAACTCTAACTAGGAATGTTCATCCGCTGTGTCAACTATAATGAACGTCGTAGTGCATAATTAATCGATGAAACTACACTGTTACCAAGTGAACTTTTATGGTTGATGCTACCACCGTTCCCCTCTTCCTTTCGTATTTGTTTCGAATAATGCTGTGGATCTCTTCCGTGCTTTTGCCGTACTCTTCTGCAAATCCGCTAGCTTACCTCAGCTTCGTTTTTCTTCTTTGGATCACTTTTAGTGCCAGATATAGCTTCATATTCCCCGTACAACCTGACAGGCTACAATAAATGAATGGCTTTAGTAGTGATATTAAAATGGTTTACGTTCGTCACGCAGCGGAGACTGTCATAAATTGAACAGTCGCTTTACTGGTCACTTTATTGCGATGATTGTGTATGTGAAGCCCTATAGCCGGTAAAAGACTTGCTAACCTCACAGCACTCATGGATACTCGATACTGAATGAGTTTTCATGCTGTGATACTACCGCTAAGGGTCAATGCTTTCTAATTTGTCTACATTGCCTTAGGTTTATTCTCGCTTAGTAGGATAAATTGACGATATAAGGGAGGTTGCTGACGTATTTCCCATTTTTTACACTGCCACTGGTAGCTAGGTGGCGCTCATTCTGAGGTGGTGCTCATGCAAGATTTGACTGTACTTGTAAGCTATTTCGGTGATTACAGAGACTCTTTCAGATTACTGAACGTGACTTCTCTTACTCATGGCTTTAGCTGTTTGATACGCGCAATAAAAACGTATTTCCATCTATATTATTAATTGTCAATTAAGTGAATTTAAGCAGCCATAGTAATTTTCATTTTCCATGAACCTTACAGAACTCTTGGTGACTACACCAAGGTATCCGCCTTTGTTGATCCCAATGGCACCTCCTTGATAACTCCGGCTACATCTCCAGGACTTAGTGCGCCTCAGGCTCCGGGTTCTGCCAGTGTCGAACCGACTCCAAGCGCGTTGAGTGTTTCACCAACTTCAGCCCCAGCCCCGGCCACACCTTCATTGGCTCAGATCGCATCGCAAGGAATGAGTCGTGAATCGCAGGACGAGTTGGGTTTGGAAAGTCCTGATNAGTCCTGATGTGTTGGAGAGTGTGTTTATTTTCTGTCTGTGCCTGGCCGTCACGGGAACACTGTCCGCGGTGGATCAACGTGTTGTGGACAGTTTAATACGGGCCCTGGCCAGCCTGCCACAAATGGACGAAGGGCCTGATGGACATGTGCGAGCAGGTTTGTCACTGCCAATGATAACACAGGTTGAATAGCAACGGTAGTTATACGGGTACAAAGCTTTCTGATACGTCTATACCATTTCAAGATAGCTTTGAGAAACTATAATTTTCATTTGCG